GCAAAAAAACGAAAAACGACGTATAGAAAACCAGGTCTACAAAACACTACATAGAAAACTATAGACTGAGCAACAAGTATCCCACTTAGAACCCGGGTGATATGAGGTGCTCCGACAGAGTAAACAGGTCCTGTTCATTATGTGGCATCAGTCGTCTTGCTCATGGCAAGAACAAATTTCAAGATAAGTGTCAATCGGTGATGTCTCAATCGAGGAAAATTGAACGGAATTGTGGAAACGACAATTTGAACATATCCGTTCTCATATGTGTGACACAGATATTCCACCAAATCATTATGTGTGATGTCCATTAAACTGTTGACGGGATAACTTTACAAATAGTTTCCTGGTAAACAGCAATCCTTTATCAAGGAAAAGAACAGGATGATTGGTTAAGAGGTTAATCACAAATAAGAGGGAGGAAATGTCAAATAAAAAGTCAACGCCAGACCAGCATCTGCATGGCCAACAGAAAAAAAAAACATATTTTTTCTTATGGTGAACTTTTTAATGCGAATCTTATTTTGTTTATGTGTTTGATTACTTTTGTTTGTTTCATTTAATATATGTTGTGTTTTGTTTTGGCTTTTTGTTGTGGTGGTGGCTCATAAATATTGACAAGAAATTTGAATTCGTTAGTCCTTAGAACAAGCGTTTACAAACTGTATAGCAAGTAAACAAGATAAAGAAACTAGCTTATAATTCTAATTTTATCTCAATCTTATAGAAGAAAAAGTAACAAGTAACTAAAGGGACAATGGACACACATTGATAAAATATATTAACAGATAGCACTTTGCCAATAAGAAAAATCTTAAATGACTGCCCACAAAACAATTCACAGAATGATTAAGACCTTGAAACGTGATGTGACAAATGATCACGCTAAAGAAACTTTTTAATTATAATTTTGATATTAAAAGAATGCGAACATCAAACTTCAGAGACATTTCTTTTAACATTTGTTTATGTTATAACCACAACCCGTTTAAACTTATTTTCATAGAGCTAATAGCAATTTAATTAACTTAGAAACAGTTGTTTCGGTGATAAAATAGAACGAAATGCTTTATCTAAATTAATGTTGCAAAAAATCTTCATGACAATCAATGGGTTCCAATGAATCATTTAAGATGTGCATTTTCATAGAGTTCACTAGGTTAAATATCTATAATGAATTCCATTTGGTTTCAAGAAGCTCTTTCAGCCTTTCTGGCGAGTATGTTATTTAAGAAGAATTAAAGGCATTACCAGGTACACACGAGACAACCAATCAAACCGCACATACATTTTGTACAACCACTACAGACTATAAGTTGTTAGATAGGTTCATTCTTTTAATGCAGAAAATTTCGTACAGGGAACTACCACTCACGCACCATTAGGGGAATCCCTATTTTCCTCCTCATTTATGATATTGTATGATGTACAATTATTTTACAAAGAATGTTCTTGCTTGAAAAGTTATATGCGTTTAGTGCTGTCGTCTTTTAAATTTCAAAATGCCACCAAAATATAAACTCTTATATAGATATTCTTAAAGTGTCTTCTTAAGTTAAACGTTATTGTTTTCTGTAGAATTTTCTTATCTCGACCTGATATCTTCAATCTTCCATCACAAGAGGATGCAGTTTACATTGTATATTAAACTTGTTTTATATGCAGGAGAAATATAAACTTTATAGTAAAACCTCACCAAAGATACCAGCCTTATAATTATGTACGGCAGACCCGCTTTTTGTCTACATGAAGTAATTATCACTATCTTAATGAAGACTCTTCTTTATTGTTCAAACGTACATCATTTAGCATAACAACCAAACATTGCAGGAAAACAATCTCATTTCATATTGATTTGATATTTTTCAAAAAAATGATCTATTTTTCATATATTCCCTGTAAGATCCATTGTAAAATAGCGCTCCTAATTTAATTTCGAATCCCAATTATTTGTCAGATAATCATTATGAAGGTTGTTTGTTAACAAATTTGTTATTTTGATTTCTGAGAGAAACTTATCCATATCCACACAAAACGGTTATCCACAAAGAAATATAGCACATAACCCTAAAGAAAAAAAGGTTTAAAGTTAAAAACTTTGTTCCTTTGATATAACTAGAAAGATCATCAAATCATTTGCGCACATAATGGACTTTAGATATATTATATCAAGATCGACATATGACCAAATTTTACAGGAAAACCCTTTCAATATATAAATCAAGATTGACGTAGGTCACGTTTTTCTCTGACTGCTAATGACGTCTTTACACTAAATCCATTGGATGTTGGATGTGTACTGATTGATATTTTAGTCTTAGATACATGATTTTTTTCTTTATGAGTTGTTATTGGCTTTGAACTAGCTGTCGTCAGTAACTGCGAGTACCCTCAGATCTTTACTTAGTGTCCATTTTGTTGTAAGGGATGAGGGATGGATAAATACCCTGCCATGTCCGGTCTGTGTTTATGTTTGATGTTTTTCTTCTTTGTATTGATCTGATGAGTTAAGCCTTTTTAAACTGATTTTTATAGTTTGTACTTAAGGTGTGCTGTTACACCACCGTAACAGGTTAGGGAGAGGGTTGAGTGCTCACAAGAATGTTTAACCCCGCCACATTCTTTATGTGCTTGTCCCAGGTCAGGAGCCTGAAGTTAAGTGGATGTCGTTGGTTCATGTCTGTCATATTTGTTTTTCGTTAATTGTTTTGTTATAAATTAAGCCGTTAGTTTTCTCAATTGAATTCTTTCATATTTTTTCATGTCGGGCCTTTTATAGCCGAATATACGGGGTATGACTTTTTCTCATCGTTGAAGGCCGTACGGTTGTCTATAATTGCTTACATCCAATTTATTTGAACTTTGGTGGATAGTTGTCTCATTGGCAATCATACCTCATCTCCTTATTTTTATATACATGTATAACTACGTCGAACTGTCGTTACCATTCGGATTATCAAGAGTTGGTCCATTGAAATTTTGTTGTGGCTATATATAGAACAAATGTTCGTTTATCAAGCAAAATACGTTTTCACATTATAGAATTTGCATGGAGATTTAATCATCTAACAAGGTCAGTATATCACTTTTTCAATTATAAAATATATAAACGCCTTTCAATTAAACTGTTGGCTTTAAGAAAACCATGTAATCTAAGTCACGAAAGAAATACTTTAAAAACACGTATGAAATGATAGGATATCAACAAAACAGACACATGTAATTAATTAAGATATGTTTACATTGGTTTGTATGTGTGTAAGCGTTTCTGGTGTAGTAGATCCAGAAAAGTTCTTTGGACGCACCAACATTTATAAAAGAGACATAACGTGTTACTTCATTTTTAAGATATTAATATGAAAATAGGTTAATTTTAAAAGATTCATAAACTTCAATATTCTCCATCTTTAGTTTTTTAACGAGAAATCATTCTAACGACTTTAAAGGGACATTAGCTGTCAAATTCATGTTCAACGATTTGACTAAAATTCTCATATTTGATTTATAACCTACTAAGACGTGTAACCAACTTTAAAAGTCTAAAATGAACAATTAACGATGCATGTGTACTTTAGTCTAGACGCCATCTAAATAACCATCGAAGTGACTTCCGAAGACTGCCGACGGTAATATAACCCGATATAAACATAAATATAGATATAAATAGATAGCGAACACGTGTAATTGGATTTTTCTAGGTTTTTTTTATTTTATATTATAGGTTAAACAAATATTTTAATCATCGTCATTACCTGTATAAGAATGAGTTTTTGCGGATCGAATCAGTCAATCAAATGACTTACCCTTGTTTCACTTTCAATATTGACATTCTTTTCCTTTTCATAGCTAGTTCATGCGTAACCCATCTCTAGCTACATTTTTAAGTAATTAAATAAAAGGTCACATGAGTACGGATTCAATGAGGTCGAATTATTCACTTGCAAGTGAATAATTCATCAGCGATATATCATAGCTTATTTTTACAAAACAGAACCAAACTAGCTGCTAAAAGCGAATTATCATTTCACTATTTCACTTTCATTAATGATTGAACAAAAAAAAAAATCAAATTTTATTTTTTTTTATAATTGTAGCTAATGCCCCTTTAGTAATGTACAATATTACACATTTAACTACATTTAACACAGCTTAAAAAGCTTTGAAGCAGATGGAAGAATAAATTACAATATAATACTAGTTCGTGAGTTCCTGACCGATGTTATTGGAATTATACGTTCTAGGTCAGTACAGTTAGTATTGATGATTTCTGGAGGGAAATGTAATTTTACCTAATATGAAAAATCTTTACTACTCCGGATATAATATTTATAGTATATTTAGTATTCTTGTCAAAAGTTCTACTAATTACATAAAACCCTATAGTGACTTTATTTTCTGTTGTGTATGTCTCTTTTGTAATCATACAACAGTTCACATCCTTAGGGATAGCAAACGTCTTTTGAAGGTTATTTTTTTCTTTTTATCCATTTAGTTGTTCCTGTAACTTGTATTCAATAATTTGATAAACTTTTACTATTTATAAGTTAATCGCAATAAGATATCAATCACTGCCTTGTACAGTACAGAATCCCTTTATCTGTTCTACTATTTACGGACGAGAACATTATTGCAAAATATACATCACACTCACTTTCTAGATTTCTTTTTCTTAAGAATTTCCTGATATGACTTTTGTAAAATATATAAAATACGATACATTTTTCTGGAGAGAGTTTATAGGAAATATTCGTATTCTGATATTAAAATTCATAATCTTCCATATGTTTATGATATGTGTTGTAAAAATGAGAAGCTTCGTCAATAATTCATAGACAAATTTTCACAGAAAAGATTTAAATCTGATATTTTTTTTCCGTTTTTAATACTTAATCGATTCAGCATTGCTCATTTGTCTAAACAGCATCAACATTACTTGCTCACATAACTTAAACCACTAGTCCATCAGTGCATTCTAAGGTATAATTTTAAATCTATTATATTCCACAATCTGAAAGACAACCTATGTTCAAATTGTGAAAGTAGATATAACGCACGCAAAAGTAGACTGGATCGTCAGTCAATATAGACACAGGGATCAATAACACTGTTATTCCACAGTGTTTACCTGGTTCTGAATGAGCTCCGTCTAGGTTAAGGTAAGTTGTTTTATTTCCTACATTATATGCATATGTTTTTTGTTATAAATTAACTTTTATACATTTTGTAAATTTTATTATATTATCAAAGAATATTGGTGTTTTTTCCCCAATGAAGTTGTAAGTTTGTAAAGTACAAATTATACTTTGACATCTGTTGCCGATATTTATACTTTCATAACCTTTATACACGGTATAATAGTTGTCTGTCATAATGTAAAATGTATTATATTATTTTACAAATCCAAACGCAACCATTTTCAAGGTTTTTATCTGTATGAGCTGTCAATTTTTGAGAAATGAGATTGCATATATACGATAAGTAAAGTTTATTATTATACATAAACGATGATCTTATCAAAATAACTGGATACAAATATATTTCGGGAAATGTATATGAACTTCAATTCAGATGTACGTGCACACTTATTATAAACACTAGAACTTCAGAGTTTGTTTATGTGCCTTTAAGTCATTATGACTATCAAGATTTCAAATCTGGTGGCCCAAGTGAATATTTGAAGGTGCTATTTTACAGTAACATTTTTGTTGTGATAATTATTTTTATCGATACCAATTAAATAGGGTCAATTTGCTCAATAACTATAATAATTAAATCTTTCTTTTTGCGTTATGTTTTCGAATTGTTAGTTTATGATCTCAGGATTGTTCTTTGATTCCCGATGAGTCCCATCTGTTTTTTTTATAGTTCATCTATGAAAAAAGAAACCACTGTAAAATAGCTTTCATTTGATATTTCTGTGTTCTAGCTGGAATTGGAGAATAGAGAGCAAATTTCTCTGAAAAGGGCACTTTTCCGTCGTTATTTTTTATGATTATTTGTTCCTTTACCAAGGCATAACTTCCTTATAGCGATATACGATAGGGTGATTCGTATGCGTTGAATAAAACATGTTTTATTTGAAGGTACGTACGCGGGTTGTTTACTTCTATTGCCTTCATCCTGTGTAATTAAAGTTACATCTTCAAATGTCAAGTGTATTTAAGATTAAGTTATATAATATATATTAATACAAGTTATAAAACATTATAACAGAAGTTTCTAATGATTGACTAAGTAAATAATTTGTCCAACAGGAAGTATATCTTATTTTTTTTATTCTCCTCAATACCATAATTCATATAATTGAAATTCTTATCCACAGCATTTTTGACTGATTGATTCTTGTCCTTGTCAGATAATATATATTTTGAAAAAGTACACAGTTAAGGAAATATTTTTTCGGATTTCCCACATATTTGTTTTTGTTTGTTTTACAATTTCTTAACTTATATTTTGTCATTGAGAACTTTTTATATTGACGTTTATTTTTGTTTATTCTCATTATTTAGGTCTTTATGTTGCGGACTCATTATCGTATGTCCAAAATCTCCTTCCTATATAAGTCCTATATTTGTTTAAACAAAAGCTGGAATTATAGTAAAACGATGGTCATCTTTCGACAAGGTTAATGAACCCAAAGTGATTTCTTGTCACTTATATGATACAATCATCATTTAATCAAATATACAAATCAACTGAAAATAAAGGCATGTTCTTTCCATCGATAGATTAGATGGGCACCCGTTATATTTGGTTCCAAAGTTATGCAAGAATCCTAGACCATATCAGAAATTTTGTTGTTCATGTGACTGTAACACAGGTAGGAGCTGCCTTGTATAATTACATTGCTGCTTCTCATCTAAAATTGCTTAAGTGTGAGCAATATTACAATAGTTTTCTATCTCGATAAAAGTTTAAGCGTTGTCTGAATACAAAAAAACACAAAAATAGATTCAGCCACCACGACATTTAATCGACATAAGGACTGTCACTTCAAACGAAGTTGTAGAACCTTCTCGGTTTTGGCGGTCAGGACCGACGGAATATAGTTCTTACGTACTAAAAGGAAATTTAAAAACATTGAAGCACGTTCCTTTAAATACACTAGACAGTTATCCGCGCTATGTCTGTTTAATAGAAAGGGGGAGGGTAAAAGACTTTGGAAGGTCAGAGTGTTGATATATTGAAAGCCATGACTTTAATATTGGAAAACGTTTTATTGCAATTTCTTAAATTACTGCGTTTAGGTCTGATCATTATAACCACCTCAGACTGGACAGTAATTGTTACCTTAAATATGTGTCCTTCTCATAGCGAGTCTGAATCAGATGGAATTACGTTTGTTATCAATAAAGTCCACAATCCATCTTATTCTGAAACAACGAATTCAGGAAGGTGTAGAAATATTATGGCACGTTGCTATATTTTGCCATTGCCTGAACTGTTTATTAAATCAAAGTTGATCATTTCAACATGTTCGACTTTACACATATAAGTAATATATTCCAAATATATTTGTATCTGTTAGAAAATTGAATATAATTGATTCTGAATATTAAGCATGATCAAGATCACCATGTACTTTAATAAGCATGGCCCTGCTCTGCCTACATATGACGATGCGTTATTTAGCATCCTGCAAGTACATTCATGCATGGTTATACTGTACGACCTGAAGCAAACAAGAATCGGGACGAAAGACCCGCATTCTTACAGGTCACTTATCAATTTACTTGTTTGGGAGAATTTGCATGACTGTTTATTTATTTCATAAAAGCGCAGTTTCTTGTTGAGAACGATTTAGCGTTTTATGTTATTCATTTACAAATGGACTTATTCTATGCAAATTCATACACAAGTGTATACGTCTTTGCATCAACATAAACTCTTATTACTTGGAGAATTTCACATTTCAAAAGTTCATTCTAAATGCATTTGAAAGTAATCCCGGAGAAGGAATGTGCCTGTAAGAAGAAACTTCAACATGAACAATCTAAACTGTATCTTTCAGAGATATGCATTTTCCTCTAAAATCGACAAATTCGTTCCTATAATATTATAGATGTTTAATGCAAATTTAAAAGACAATGGAAGACTTGTTTATTATTTAAGTCACATAAATCTTGAAGTTTAAGATTAACGAGTTTGTAAATTGAAAATATCCCGACGCCTCCCCGAAAGATTTTTTAAATTGATGTTATTATATTAATTCGAGAGAAAGTACGAAATGCTCTTTGGTATATCTATTTCTACTCTAAAATTGCACATCAAAACGACAGTTTGACATGGAAACAATACAATTCGATCTAAACGAGTCTCATGGCATGGTGTTCCCTCCATGGATGATATAATCACGAAACTTTACTAGCATTGATCAGTCATTTAATAAAAAAAGACTACAAACCTCTTGGCATTAAATCACAAGCAATCACTATTATTACTTTCCAAATTCTAAAGCGTTGATAGATAATGGAGCAAAGTCAGGCACGGTATAGCATGTAAATCAGTACAGAAATTGTTCGCTTCAGGCATGAGGCTGTAGTCTGCGTAAATTATCATCCTTTGACGTTTAACTCTATTTAATGATGGATTTTATATACACTTGTATTGATATGCAATATCCATTTATGATCATGATTAAATTAACCCAAGACACGATATGCATGTACATTATATGTATACCCAGCCTCTAATGTTACACTCTTTCAATTTTGATGTAAAAAATTAGATGTGGAATGATTGCGCAATGAGACAACTATCCAACAGATTTCAAATGAAGTGGATATAAGCAATTATAGGTCACCGTACGCCTTCAACAATGAGAAAACCCCATACGGTATTGTCGCCTTTAAAAGACTCCGACATGAAAAATGTGAAGCAATTGAAACGAAAAATCTTACGGCCTAATTTATAACAAAATAATTTACCAAGAACAAATATGACAGAAATGAACCAACGACAACCACAATAAACTCTGACGCATATATTTTGGCGTCAATCGTGAAAATAACTGCAGGTTATTGACTAACTAACTAAACTCCTTCGTTAACTAAATATATCTGGAAAGATATAGACTTGTAAAAACGCCTAAATGCATCATAAAATCTAGTGTGTAAACTTTTTGAAGAAAAATTAAAAAAAACTTTGTATGTAGCAGTGTTAACGTACAAGTTAAATTTTAAAAGACAATACAAATAATTTTCTTCATCGTTACTTTTTCTTAACACATGTTGCAGTGTGACAACAAATTTTAATGATTGTGTTCACATAATTCTTACCGAGTACACATATCACTAGTCTGTCAATTACATAGGTAGCAAGCGTAAAAATATATTTCTATAGATTCAAAAAATAATCTTGTATGGTATTGGCCATTGTTGCTGTACGATTACTGCTTTCTGTGAGGTGAACAAGTCCTAGTTACATCATAAGGCAATTCATACCCTTGCTTTTAAATAGATGTTTTGTTGTTAACAACATTTCTAATGTGTAGAATTAATAAATCTTTTTATAGAATTCCCTCGTTACAAGCTTATGTTTTAATCATTTCTGTTGACTTTTAAAAGAATCAGATTTCTCTACCTTGATAGAAATTATCGTCTAGTAATTATTTTCAAACTCTTACTCATATTCCAGTTATGAAATAGTAATTGTTTAAAAATTAACTGGTTAATTGATACGTCTTATAATGAGGTCGATGCGCACAGTTAAATCGGTACGCAAAGTAAATGTCAGGTATGAAATCCTACGATACAACGTAATGCTCTTATATATCTTCCGTCTCATTACAGTACACAGTTATTAGAATCCAAGCAGGCTAATGCAAAAATCAAATTCTTGGTATTATAAGGATCATTTGAATTTAGTAAAGTTGGTTGTAAGCATGTATTGCAATGTATTATCTTGTACTTGAACACAAAGGTCATATGTTACTTCAACATATTTAAAAAAAAAAACTTGTTAAATTGTCTTGATTATAATTCAGTAATGTTGGCAACAAGCCATGCTTTCTTTTCATTACGAGTTACATAAACACTTTGTAAAAGTTGGAATGCTGTAAAAATTCAGTGATTTAAAACTATTAGTGCGGTGACGGAATAGGAAAAAGTCGAATATTAAAAGAGTTTAATTACACTGCATAATACACGGCTAAAAA